GGGCAGGGAGGGTGGCGTGGTGATTATTCCAGGCAGAAGGAACAGTGTGCGCAGACCCCTTAGGGAGTGTGGGCATGGTAGTTCCGAGGACCTGAAGGTGACTCAGTGTGACTGTAGAGCAGACAGTGAGAGGGCCTGTGATGGGGGCTTGCACAGGAGAGCCAGGTGGGACCTTCTGGGCCATAGTGACAGACCCGGTCTTACTTCCTAAGTGGATCAGGAAGCCAGATTGTGACAGCCAGAGTGCGACGTGGGTCAGATCTGAATTCTGCAATGATTGCTTTTGCTGTTACGTGGTGGAAGGGAAAGGGCATCGTGCACGTGGGGGACCAGTTGGGACGCTGCTTTGGAGGCCAGCTGAGAGAAGAAGGAGGTTTGCATCAAGATGCCAGTGGTGAAGGCACCCTCACCTTGGAACTCGGCTTAGTCTGGCAGTGAGAAAACCAAGCTCTTGGTTGCTCTTCATGGATTGAGGACCCTGGAGGAGGCAAGAAGAAATCATATATTTGGGAAACCTCGGGAGTAGGGGTGATAGACGTGAGCAATAGGAATTTAGGCTGTAAATTGGTTGAAAGAAAATGAGGATGAAGTTGGGGTGAAGTACCCCAAAGGGGTTATGAGCATTAAGCCGGTCAAAACACGGTTTGCACCAAATGCGAGCAGTGTTGAGTATGGATTTGTCTCTTAGCTCTTTTAATTGCAAACTATGCTTGATGGGTGTAATGTTCACAAAACATCTACGTTTCTCGAAACTTAAAAAGAGAAACACGCTTTTAGCATACAGCAAGTTGCCTTGAGTAGCTTAAAATGAGAGCCTTTTCAAGTAAAAGCTATCCTGAGGCCTCTGCTCAGCAAATTACGAAACTGTACCTGGAGGTCAGAATAGGTCTCAAGCCTGGTGTCGGTAGTTCCCGACTGCGCCAGGCCCAGATGTCTGGTAGGCCCTCACACCTTGCACACCCCTCACCACACTGCTCTCAGCACTGGCTTCCCACGTGATTGCTAGGAGCCTCTGGACGCATCATTGAGCCTTCCTGGGTTGCCTCGTGCTTAAAATGGCAGGGACCCAGCTCATGCAGCGTTTCATCTCAAGGACGTTTGATTCCCACGCAGCAGGAGTCCTTCACTACCCGAAGGGCTGTGCTGCGCTCGATATGCCTGCATATTCTTCTGGCTCCCTGAGGACTTGTTACTTACCGTCCATGGTTGTGGTTTCTGGTCTTAGTAAGGCCAGGAAGAGTTCATTCCTTATTAACACCCCTTTTTGCTCAGAGAAAATCTTAGGCCTGTTTCCGAAAACCCACTGCAGTCCCATAGGGGCATCTTCCCTCTCCTCCCAATTTACTTCAATCCGCAAATGAATAAATACGCATTTGTTGAGCACCTATTGTGTGCCCTACATGATGCTCAAGGCTTTCCTCCACTGAATTGTCTTGTAAGGTAAGGGCTGTGCTCAGCATCATAAGAAAAGGAACCAGTATCTCACTGAGGTTAACCCTCCCATGGTCACCCAGCAAAAGGAAGAGTATTAAATGGCAGGATAATATCAAACCCAAGACTTCTGATTCTGTATCCAGGCCCCCTCCCCCAAATTTGTAAACAAGTTGGTTATAGGTGGCTTGTGGACAATGCAGGGGGTGAAAATTAAATCACAGGATGGGAGTGTTGTTTCCTTTTCAGTTCTCTCTCAAGCATCCTGATTGGTCAAGTAGAAAATGCATTTGGTGTTAAAGTGGCTTTAGCACCTGTTGAATATTTGCTAATCTCCTTTTTCAACAAAGAGAGTTGGTCTCAAGCTCAGCACCTTCCACATTCAAGAGTCTCTAGCAAGGATTTAAACAAATTATTTCAATTTCATCTTTTATTTTTGGAGCATCATGTTGGTTTTTCTCGTGGTGGCAATATCAAGTTGCCTTTTTAGCAAGAAAATTACGGGGAAAATAACTAAAGAAAAATGTTGAATAAATTACATTTCAGGTGGATGGGCATAATAATGACAAAAATCATGAGTGTGCGTCTGTCTGGATGAAGCTGGGAGCTGCACCATTGGTTCTCACTGCCTCCCTCGCTCCCAGGACACGTGGGCCTTCAGGAGACGGCCGCCATGCTAAGTTCTGAATGTGCTCTTTGTTTCCCTGGGAAACATATAGAAGTGATTATAATAAAAACTATCTCTGCCATTAGGACCTTGGAGACATCCTTCTTAAGTTTAAATATCATAACCCAAATCGACCCAAGCTAGTAATCGAGTCTTAAAACCTAAGAAAAATATGTAAGTTTATTGCAAAAGATAATATCCCATTTAAAACAGTTTAGAAATTTACAAAACCTTACATTAGTACATAGTCTTTAAGAAGGTGCTCTATAGGTGAGCTGGTATTAAGTTCCAAGGACGGTGAGTATGCATTTTTTTTTTAACTACGGAGTGAGCAGCTACATAAACTCCTGCGACTTAAACTGACTTATCAGTCTTTTTCCTCCCAACTTTACAAAAGTACCTTTTGCTAAATTAACGTCTCTCCGTAAAACCAGGTAACCTCAAGTACACATTTCTGTAGGATATCCTGACAGATGTTACATAATATTTTACAAAGAAGCAATTTTCACAAGAATAGATGAGTATAGAGTTTTGGTAAATGTATATATAGATATATATATATTCTTTTTTAAACACAGAGATGATCATTTTTGTTTAGCAGGAAGGTTTTTTTTACTGAATCCATTGCCCTCATCACAAGTTCAAATGTTCAGTCTTCAGAAGAGACCTCCTACCCAGCTGCAGGTTGGTGGCCCAGGCGATGCTGTGTTGTGCTTTGGTATAGAATTGTTATAGCCTTGTTTGGCTTTATTTCTAGAAATGCCAGCCTTTTCCGACCACGATTGCATCTAATTCAGTTGAGGGTTTACCTGAGGCTCCCAATTCAAAGTGTATGACAATGTATACTTCTTAATTATCCAAGGGTTGGATAACCCTTTTGGTGTGTGAGTTACCTCCGACACCTCTTCATCATGACAGGCTAACTTTGGCAAATGATCCATGTCCGCTCTGGGTGGCTCTGCTCATTTGATGTTGGAATGTGCACAGACTTTATGCAACAGGTAGAGTAGGTGTTCCTGTCTCCATTCGAGAATGGACAAACAGGCCCTGGAAATGTAAGCAATTTGCTAAAGGTTGATGCAATAGACTGTTCTATTGCCTGGGTCCCTTAATTCTGGAAACAGGATTCTTTGCATTCTAGCATGCTGCCTAAGAGCATAAATTAATTTGAAAATTAGTGTAAGCAAAGCAAATTATGATGGAAGCTCTACTACAGGATAAAATTATATAAGAGATCCCAAATGATTCTGCTTTATTGGATTATCCTCTGTGCTGTTCTTTTCCATTGTGGGGGCCAACTGAGAGTTGACTGTGTGGATACAGAAAGATCTGTGGCTTTTAGCCAGTAGTAGCATCTCTTATTGAAATGTGGCTTCTTAAGTACGACAAGTGTATTTATCTTAATTCTAGCTTCACGTTATGTATTCTGGTCTCATTTTGTGGGTTTAAACATTACAGTAGAAACAGAACAAGAACATCTTGAATGACGTTCCAAGACTTAAATAGTGCAAGCTGAGATTCCTTGCCAAATTTCCCTCTCGCGCTCACTGAAATAGCTTTGTGCACTGCAGCGCAGTGACAGGGGAAGGTGAGGCTGTCGGAGTGGTTTGCTCAATTAGTCTCAATTTGCAGTAGGGTACTCAACATCCCACGTTCACGCAGGGTGCCACAGTCTGCAAAGACACCCAATCTTTAGCAAAGGGGATTATGAAATGCCTCCTTCATTGGATGCTTGTTGAGTTTAGGATCCCTTTTCTAAGCAGCTTCAATCCAACCCCAGGCTGATAGAGAATTTAACAAGAAGGAATATGAGCCTCGCCAACCTACCCCTCATCCCTAAGAGTATGCAGCAATCACTTAATTATATTCCTTTAGTAGTTTGTTCAGCCATGCAAGTTCGACTGGACCCACATGTATGGGGGTCTTGTCAAAAGAAGTGAGCCAGACTTTAAAAGAATTTAGACTTTGGGAAGGAAAGGTCTTTAATACTAAAATGGAAAGAGAAAAAAAATCCTCACCCCAAGTCCTGCTGCTTCTTCAATCAGGTGGCCATTGCCTGGTCACCAGGAAGGGAGGCTGTGGAGATTAATATACCTTTAAACTTATCTACAAGGCTGTTGCAGGGATAAATGAGCGAGAACCAGTGTTGTGTTTTATCTTAGTCTTATTTCTGTTACTGGTAAGATGAAATGGACAGACAGGCTGCTGGATCTCCTGATCTGAAAAGTTTCAGGGAAGTTAACTGCGGAATCTTAAAGTTCAAACCCAAACCAGAGCCCATCCATTTGCCAGGCGGCCTCAGGCCTCAGGCTGAGAAGCAGGATGATTTAAAGTGGGCCCCCGAGTAGCCACAACTGCAGGATACTCACACCTGCAAGTCCCTTGTGTCCTGCAGCGACCTTACTCTGCCACAGACTCTGAGGCCCACACAGCATGAGATGACAAATCCTTGCTTTGGGATCAAGGGGCTAATTAAGCATGAAAACAACCCAACCCCCAGGTGATCTTGCAGTTTTATGCCCTGCCCGCTTTGTTGTGCTTATTATGTATGCCAATATCTTAGAAAACTGCCAGTTTCAGTATCCTTTTTTTTTTTCTGAGTATCTGCTTAAAACCTTCCTGCTCTGCACAACACTTTGCTTTTCCTTTGGGATAATGGACCCAGGATGGGCAGGAAGTGCTTAGCATCCCAGAGGTATAGGAAAGGGCGAGGGGGCATTTGCCCATGGTGGGAATCTAGACCCTCAGACCAAACTGTGGCCTGGCTGGGTGTGACAGGAAGCGAGGCAGGTAGTCACTCAGGTCCATGAAGTCCTCAGCCAGCAGTGGCACGCACTCAGGTGAGGCTGTGGTCAGGTGTCCAGTGGTGGCTAAAGCAGCCCCTCCACCCCCCCAACCCACCCCCGTTGTAGTGGTTTCGCAGGTCGAGTGGCTCAGAGCCTGGGGCCTTTGCTAAGAAACAGAGAAGCCTGAGGGCAGTGATGTGGCCACTTCGCGGAGGGAGCGCAGAGGGAGTGGTCCCCGCAAGCTCAGATCCACCAGAAGCATTTCTTCTTCACCTTCTTGGTTTTCCGCCTTAAGTCCTGTTTCTCGGGGACCGGGGGCTCTGTTGGGGACTTTGGTGGGGGAGATGCCTCCTCAACTGGCTCTGCTTCCTCCAGACTCTGTAGAACTTCGTGGAACCTGCCTTCCTGCTGCCGGAAGTCATATTCTACACTGAAAAACACGGAGAGGAAGGAAGGAAAGTAAATTCGAATCAGCACATTCTGAGTTAGCATCACCAGATGCCCCACTGACGTGGAAGAGCATGGGCTTTGAGATCAAGTCGCAATACTTAAATATCTACCTGCTGTGCGACCTTAGGAAAGTTGTGCCACCTCCCTGAAACCCCAGTTTCTCATTGCTTGAATTGGCACCCGTATTGCCTTCCTCTTGGGGATGCTGTTAGGTTTAAGAAAAGCGTGTAACATGGCAACCTGATAGTAGGTGTTCAGGAAATGTTGCTCCCAACTCTCTCTCACATTTATTTGGTGTTTCTAATTGTTCATTCTTTTTGCATACATTTTATGCATGAAAACTGCCTCGTTATAAAATATTTAAGTAATACAGAGGAATAGACAATAAAACTGTCAGCTCAGTTTTCTTATCCATAAAATGGACATAATAATGGCCTCTATTCTATCTCAATGACTTTCCATGGAATTAATATGTATTAATTAAGTCAGAGAATATAAATGAAGTACGTAGAGCAGTGCCTGGCAAGTAATAAGCCCTCCACATGTGTTAGCCCTGTTGCTGTTGCTTTGCTTTTTGGGGGAGGGTGGCAGTAATTAGGTTTATTTACTCATTTATTTGTTCATTTATTTTAATGGAGGTACCAAGGATTGAACCCAGGACCTCCTGCATGCTAAATTTGCGCTCTACCACTGAGCTATACCCTCCCCTCCCATTACTGTTATTATTATCATCATTAACTTTATTAATGCTAATATATTCTGTCTTGCTCTTTGCTTTGCTTTTCAACTTAACGATGTGTCTCAGAGAGCTCTACCCATATGCTTACTTCATAGTATTCCTCTATATAGATGTATTCAAACACTCTTCTTTATGGGCATTTCCAAATCTCCATTTTTTTTTGCTACTTTATTAATGTGTTTTGGAGTCGTTAATGTCCCAGGCTCCATTGTATCATCTGTGCACAGGTCTGTGAAGTAAGCATGACACTGCTGGGGACCAGGGTTCCCAGGGGTTGAGACAGTCGGAAGCTGGGGAGGGCAGCAGCTCTGGCCCGCGCACAGTGGGTGCTCCCACTCCCGCTGCCCTTTGAGAGCTTGGGAGTCAGGCTGGTGGGCGGCAGGGACTCTCAGCCTGTCTGGTAACTCTGACTCAGCCTTCTCAGAACCTCAAGAGCTGGGCCAGAAAGACTGAATCCTGGAGACGTCTCTGCAAACTGCATGGGCACCCCCTGCCCTTAGCTGTCCACACTTCCCTCGCTAGGAGATTCACTCCCAGAGGAGTTACCAGTGCCAGGATGCTTGTAGGAAGGCTCTTAAGCTTATGGCTGTGTTTGTTACCTGATTTCGTACTGGAACTCTCAGAAGGCCCAAAGATGCGGAGCCAGCGTGGGAGTGTGGAGAGTGGAGGAAATGCAGAGTCACGCAAACAGTGCATGCTCCTTGTTTGGCAAGGAGGAAAAGGAAATGTGTCCTATGGAGCATGACAGAGCCTCTGATGGTTTGTGATGTGGCCTAACTGGGCTGAAAAGGAGCTGTCTTTAAAGGGACTCTGTCCCGGTATGCTATGTCCATGTCGCCTCCCAGAGACCCAGGGTCAGAGTAAGTCTGCCAAAAGGACAAAGCATGATTGTCACACGTGATTAATAAAGCCCCCATATGGGACCTTGTCGCTGGGCACTCTGAGATGGAAGAAGCTAAAGAGTCAGAAGAGCTGGGCGGCCTGTTTCGTAGCCAGACCAGCGGGGTGTCAGTGCATAGGGAGCTGCAGGGATGGGTGTCTGATTATTCTGTTTCTGTATTTTTGATATGTTTTCCCTGGAATTTTCTTCTCCCCAGCTTACATCCTTTATTTCCTGCTCTTCCCTGGTCTCCTCCAGTGGGACATACTCCTGGCTGGGTGACTTACATAATGTACGTAGCAACACAGGCTGTGTTTTCCTAGGCAGAACTCTGCAACCGATTACCTGTGAGATCTTGGCAAAGTCATTTCTCGTATTCAAGCCACAGCATCCTTATCTGCAGAATGTGCGTGGTATCTACTCCTAGGATCTCAGCGAAGTACGGACAATGTCATGCACGTACAACACTCAGCTCAGAGCTAGGCACCAACAAACACTGGATTCCATTCAGCTAGTCATTCAACAAGCATTTATTGAGTATCTCCCATGTACTAGGCCCTGTGCTAGGTTCTGGGGGAGAAGTAGTAAAGACGACAGACAGACAGGCAGGCAGGCATTTATCCCTGGCCTTTTGGCTCGGCTCTGGTAATCTGGTGACTCTGTGTCCTTAGTAAATGCTAGCCAATATCAAGAGCTATTAGAGACTTTCTAGCCAAAGCTCAGGATTTTCCAGATCAGTGAACAGAAGTATTAACAGACATACACTGAGGCTCCTGCTTCCAGGAGGTACTACCCAGCACTGCACCCCTGTTTGTCTCTGAGCCTGGGGTGGGTTTCTGTCACCACTACCTTTACCTCACTCTTCCCAGTTGAAATTTAAGGAAATGGATTCAGAGGCTGGAGAAGAGTTGTGTCCAGCAATCTCTCATTGCTTTAAGGAAGGAATTTAAAGCAATGAGTTGCAAACTCTGATTCTCACCCTCTCATGCATTATTTCACAGACAGAGAACGTCCACATTCTTAGTTCTCCTAGCTCCTGAAATACTGCTGCCCTCCTTTCACCAAAGCAAAAAATAATCTTCGTCCCAGAGTGTTACATGGGGCCAAAAAAAGTGGGTACCCTCTGCTCATTCTAGTAATTTCCTCTGCTTTCTGGTATAGGACATTCCATCTATCCATCCATCCATCCATCCATACATCCATCCTACCACCCATCCATTTATTCATCCAACCATCCACCTGTGCAGTCAGCCAACTGATTAGCCATCTAACTATCTATTTGTTTATCCAACCATCCATTCATCTATCTATCCATCCATCCATCCATCTAGTCATCCAGCTATTCAACCATTGATCCATTCATCCATCTGTTTATTCATCCATCCATCCTACCACCCATCCATCCATCCATCCATCCGTCCTACCACCCATCCATCCATCCATCCATCCTTCTAATCATCCAGCTATTCAAACATCCCTCCATTCATCCACCTGTTCATTTATTTGGCCAGCCAGCCAGCCAGCCAGCCAACCAACCATCCTTCTATCCATCCATCCAATCATCCATCCTGCTCTTGGTCTGACACTGTGTTCAGTTACAGGGACATAACAATGAGATACAGATGTCGATTCTGCTTTTGTGGCTCTTGCTTCCCTGTGTGTGAGACAGATGATTAAACTAACAATTGCTTTAAAAGTATGCCTTATATATATCTCAGCTACCCTTACTTTCCAGCTCTTCATCTGTATACCTCTCCCAAATTATATGAACACACACATAAACCAGCCTCCTTCTTCTCCTTATGTGTGACATTTCTCTGACTTCGTAATTCAAACAACAACAACAAACCACCTGAGTTTGTCAAGACTCACAACAGTATCCTAATGCCAACTAGAAAAAGTAACGCTCTAGGTGAATCCAGAATGTGTGTAGCACTGGCAGGCCTGGGGACGGAAGAGCCGGGAGACAGAATGTAAAGTCTGTCTCAGCTCACAACTTAAAGTGCTGCCCATCGTAGAGGATCGAGCAAGGGCTCTCGAGTGGAGTACTCCTGGGGTTTGAACCGAGGTGGTACCATTTACTGGCTGGGTGACCTTGGGCAAGTTGCTTCTCTTTCTGGGACCCAACTGGAAGTGGGGGTAATGAAGCTACCTCCCTGGGTGGTTGTGCAGATAACACCATGACAGGTACAATGGCCTCACGTAGGAGATGGACTCCACCCACTCCACTAAGTCTTCTGTCCTCCTGTCTTAGGGACTGAATGCCTCACCTGCTCCCTCATACCTTCAACTCTTCAGTAATTGTACACTTTGCCGGAAACATCACTCTTCACCCCTCCCCTCTGTGTACATTCAGGGAAGAACACACCCTTTATATTTCTATGGAAACACCACAGGATTCCATTATAACCATTGGGACTTAGAGAGCTCCCCACCGTCCTCTTGCAGCTGCCCCACACCCCGGTCTTGACAATTTAAAGGGGATTAAAAGCGACTTTCTTTTCAAGGCCAGGCAAATAACAGAGTATAGAGACGCATGTGTGCTTTGGAAAGAAATTAATGCTTTTTAGGCCAAAGCAATTTATTAACATAAAGGAAAATCATCACTTTTCTTCTCATTCATCCGTTTGACAAACTACTGTTTAGTTTGGAAGTGAGGAAGAGGATATATATTTTGTTTTGGTAGCAGCTGCTTTGTAAGTGGGCAGAGGGCAGTGCCCTTTCTCATCTGTCTCTCATTTTGAGGCTGGGTGGAGAAGGAGAGGTGCCCCTCAGCTTCTTCGCCATCCCACCCCATATTCAGCAACCTCTTCAAAAGGGGATCTTGCTCGGTGAGAATTCAAGCTAACTCTTAACAGAGGGTTGTTTGAAGATTCTGGGGAGTGACTTGGGTTTGGTACCCAGGCAGAGCACCAATAACTTTCCCAGCCTTATTTCCCCTTCTCTCCTCCCTCTTAATCTCCCTGCCCTCCCACCCTTACCATCCCCATCCCCATTCTATGTGGATGAAGAGGAGTGCTGAGTGCTTAGCTGATAAAGAGCTCTGGCTCACAGTGGGGGACAAATGGTGGTCAAGAGAATGTTACAGTACAGGATTCAGGCTTGGACCCGTTAAGATAGCCTGGAGCATTCAAGGTTGGTCCTGCCAGGTTGGTCCTTTGAGGATGCAGGGAGTACCCGATGCCTGGTTCAGGGATGCTCAGTTCACTGTGTGGGGAGCCTTAGAGCCTTGCCTGGCCAAGCCTGTGCGCGGTGCCACTTTGCATTTAGAAAGGAGCTGTGTGTAAACCGAGAGTGGAAAGAGTTTTCAGGTTTGCCTCTTGAGGGCACCTCACTAATCTCGCTGACAGATCAGTGCTCC